CCAGTTCCAAACACACAGGCCCCCTCAAGCCCTTTGGCCACTTGCACTCATATTCCCCTTTCTTCACAACACCTGTCTGCTCTCTTACAACCTGGCACACCATCCAAAAACTCATCCCCAGTTGGAATTGTGTCCTGCTCCCTGCCAGCCTTCAGTCCCTCCCTGCCACACCCATGCACAAGCATTCCTTCCTGTGCAATCCACTGCCACTCCGGCTGCAGTACCCCTAGGTCAGCACACAATGCCATCACCCCAAGTGAGTTCCATATCCAAGCCAGTTCCCTGCTAATGTACCTGGGAAAGCGATTACAGAGAGTCCAACTACATATCTGTATGTATCTATGTATGTGTGAATGAATGAATGGATTTAAAATGTACACTAACAGAGAAAGGCAGGGAAGAGACAGAGCACTCTCCTATCTGATGGTTCTCTCCTCAAACTGGCTAAAACAGCCAGAGTGAGGCCAGGGTGAAGCCAGGCACCACAAACTCTTTCTGGGCTGCCCACAGCTGGAAGGGGCCCAAGCACTTGGGCCATCTTCTGTTGCCTTCCCAGCTGCATTAGCACAGTCAGATCAGAACTGCCACAGCTGGGACTTGAACTGGCGCTGCAGTATGAGACACCAGCATGACAAGTGGCAGCTGAGCTCACTGCACCACATCAGCCCCCTGTAACTCACATTTTGGATGACATACCTAACAAGCACACTGAGCCCAAGGCCATATTTACCCTGTATTTTCCTCTAAAGGTTTTATAGGTCTAGCTTTTATGTGAAAAAAGACTGCTGTTTCCTCGTTGAATGGCCTTAACACTCTTGTCCCCCCCCCCCCCCCAAATATATCAACTGACCGCAAACTGTAATTTCTGACTGGGTTCCCCATCCTTTTTTTTTTTTTTAAAAGATTTATTTTTTTTTTATTGGAAAGGCAGATTTACAGGAGAAAGAAGAGACAGAAAGATCTTTTCCTAGTGGCCACAACGGCTGCAGCTGAGCCAATCCAAAGCTTCTTTCAGGTCTCCCACACAGGTGCAGGATCCCAAGGCTTTGGGCCATTCTCCACCATTTTACCTGGCCCTAAGCTGGAAGTTGGCATGGAAGTGGAGCAGCCAGGACCCACACCGGCACCTGTATGGGATCCCAGCACTTGTAAGGTGAGGTGTCCACCACTGAGCCACTCTGTGCCGGGCCCATGGGTTCCCCATTCTATGGACTGACCCACCTGTACCTTTGCACCCAGCAGCACACTGTCCCTATTACTGCTGCTTTGTTGTCACACTGTAAAAATGAGAGCAACCACTAGGTTGTTCTTTCCAAGGACTGCTCTGGTGATTCAGGGTCCCTTGAGAGTCTGTCTACAAGACTCAGTTTGTCAATTCCCATAAATAGGCCAGGAGGAATGAGGCAGGGATTACATTCAAACTGTATTACCATTTGGACCACTACTATCCTAACAACTACAAATCCATCATGAGGGATGGTTTCCACTTGCAGCAGTCCCTCCTCCACCCTCCAAGGTTTCCAGAGGGTACCTGAAACCACAGACAGCACCCAGCCCGATCCACACCATATGTATGTACTGTTTCTTCCCATACAACCACACCCTTGAGAAGGTTTTATTTACAAATGAAGTGCTATGGGACCCGGCAGCGTGGCCTAGTGGCTAAAGTCCTCGCCTTGAATGCACCGAGATCCCATATGGGCGCCAGTTCTAATCCCAGTAGCTCCTCTTCCCATCCAGCTTCCTGCTTGTGACCAGGAAAAGCAGTCAAGGACGGCCCAAAGCTTTGGAACCCTGCACCCGCGTGAGAGACCTAGAAGAGGTTCCTGGTTCCTGGCTTCGGATCAGTGCAGCACCGGCCGTTGCAGTCACTTGGAGAGTGAATCATCGGACTGAAGCTCTTTCTCTTTGTCTCTCCTCCTCTATGTATATCTGACTTTGCAATAAAAATAAATAAATCTTTAAACAAATGAGGTGCTATAAGTGATGAACAGTACATAATAAGAGAACAATCAGACCAAAATAATTAAGAATCACAGAATATTTCTAGAACTTCCCATTAGCAGGTCAGATTGCAGTTGAATGCAGAGAACTAAAACCACAGAAGCAAAATCAGGGATAAGGGGGTGACACAGTCTTAAAAATATAACCAGAGGCCTGAGTATTTGGTCTCAGAGTGCCTGGGCTCACGTCCCAACTAACTCCAGCTCTCCTGTGAAGGGCCACCCTGGGAAGCAGCAGCAGGTAATGAATGGCACAAGTTCTTGGGTGCCTGCCACCCACAAGGAGGACCCAAACTAAGTTCCTGACTTGTGGCTTCAACCTGAGTGAGCCCCAGCTGCCTGGGGGCCTTTGGGAGGGTCAGCCATCCGAGGAGAGCTCTTCCTCTGCCTCGCAAAAGAAAAAAGGGGAAAAAAAAATCAAAAAAGCCTCCTGCATAATCAAAGGAGAGGAGGAGCAAGAGAACGACCATGACAACTGATACATGTATATCTGAAGTCCAGACACATTACTCTATGTAACCACAGATAATCCTTTACGTATTACCTAGGAGTAATCATCTTAGTTTCATATTGGCTAGTAACACCAACAGTGACCCTGATCCTAAGGGAAAATGAATATGTGATTCATTTAATTACCAAGATCAAGTCTTGGTCTTCTCCTGCAGTCATACTAGAAAATGGACATTGTTTTTTGTAAAGAAGTTAAGATTCCATTGACCTACATTTTTACTCTAGTCAAAAATCAGCCAATGTTCCTTTCCTGGCCCTGAAAACCTCTGGAGTTTGGTTACTATAGCTAAGATTTCACCTGCGGGGTTGAGAAGGCCATTCTTCTCGCTCCAGTGAATCAAATCTCAAACTGGCTGCTTCCCGGCCTCTGTCCCCACCCAGCCTACACTCCCAGGCCTGATCGGGTATCACACACCCTCACCAGGCAGACCAAGCTTAGGAAACTGTTCTAGCTCAGCCAGCCACTCACCATCTGCCCTCTAAGTTGAAAACCTCAGGCTGTCTCTCCTCCATGTTATATGTTTTTTTTTTTTTTAAAAAAAAGATTTATTTATTTTTATTGCAAAGTCAAAAATACAGAGAGGAAGAGAGAAGAGAGGAAGATCTTTTGTCTATTGATTCACTCCCCAAGTGAGCACAATGGCTGGTGCTGTGCTGATCTGAAGCCGGAAGAAGCCAGGAGCTCTTCCAGGTTTCCCACGCGGGTGCAGGGTCCCAAAGCATTGGGCCATCCTCGACTGCTTTCCCAGGCCACAATCAGGGAGCTGGATGGCAAGTGGAGCAGACAGGACTAGAACCAGCGCCCACATGGGATCCCGGCACATTCAAGGCAAGGACTTTAGCCACTTAGCCACAGCACCAGGCCCATTATGTGGCTTAAAAAAATACTAATAAAGATTTATTTATTTTTATTGGAAAGGCAGATATACAGAGAGGAAGAGAGATGGAGAGGAAGATCTTCAGTCCGATGATGATTCACTCCCCAAGTGGCCACAATAGCCAAAGCTGAGCCAATCTGAAGTCAGGAGCCAGGAGCTTCTTCCAGGTCTCTCACGCGGGTGCAGGGTCCCAAAGCTTTGGGCCATACTCAACTGCTTTCCCAGGTCAGAAGCAGGGAGCTGGTCGGGAAGCAAGGCTACCGGGACATGAACTGGTGTTCACAAGAGATCCCAGAGCATTCAAGGCGAGGACCTCAGCCACTAGGCTACGTGCCGGCATCCCCCCTCTTTTTTAAGCCTCCTTAAAAATTCTGCTCACGTGGCATCATCCACACAGCCTGAGACTTCATACTTCAACCATTAGGTAACAAGAAACTTCCTCCCGGACTTTAACACAGCAGTCTGGGGCTCTTCACCACATACCTAGTGATATCTGAGGAACAGCACACAAGTCAAGATGCTTATCAAGTAAGACACAAATACAAAAACTAGCCTCCCAGGCAGCTCCCCCTGGAAGGTCTGGCAACCCTTCAGAAGCTCTTACCAGAAGAAAATTAAGACGCCTGCATCCCCAGAAATATGCAGTCTAACCTCCAACCTCTTCAAATAACAAAACACTCAGCACCCCAAATCATTACAACACCCGGTACATTGCACATCATTCAACTGACCAGAATATTCAGTTAGACACACTAGCTAATTGCTGAAACTCTCACTTTGAGTTGAAGGCTTAACTGCATACTGCAGCAACTTTTCAATATAATTTTGGGCAAGCAGGTCCACACTAAGGAGTCTATGGAGAGGGAAACTACTGCAGAACATCCAAGGAAGCTTCCACTGTATTACACAACTTACAAGCAGACAGGAGACGGACCACTGGAGATGTAGGATAAATAAATGTAATTTACACAAAGGGAACTCGTGCCCCAAAGCAAATAGTTGACTTCCTCAAAAAAATTTGTAAGGAATAAGCTATCCTCTTTCAAACAGCTTACACTGTTTGACATACACACAAAGAATCGATTGATCCAAATTGCAAATGTCATCACAACAGCCTGTCTTGAAATAAAGAGTACAGGGTATGACAGCAATCCATAGCACAAACGACTCTGGGCCCAAGGAGGTAGTCAGACCTGAGCAGGGCAAACACTTAGTCTTGTTTCTCATTTTGTTTCATTAGAACTTCCGCAAACACACCAAATTGAGGAGTTTTGAAAAACACAGAAGAAAACAAACAACTAAACGTCTTCCAGCACATATGAAAGTTCTATTATGGTTCTCTTTGCTTCAAGAGCTGTTCAACAGGGACTGTGAGAATCTACTAGATTATTACACAATGGCCTGCCCAGGTACGCGTGCTAGCCAGCATCAGGCCAAAGCAGCCCTACTGTTCACCTGTTTAAGTTAACTGCTGTTAATTCCGGGGCCAAGGTTCCCTACCACGGCCCTGCCTATTACCATGCTTGATACACAGTCCATGTTTCCCAGTGAAAAGCTCAAATAAACACATGAATCTCTGAGAAGAAGCATCTCAGCAAAACCTACATACCGGCAAGTCCACGCTCACGTCGGTGCCGTCCAGCAGGGACACCCGACACGTGATGATGGACTTGGCATCTCCGGCGGCAGGAATGTGAGTGGGAGCGCGCTGTGCCTCTCGGAGTCGCTCCTTCTCAGCATGTTTCCGCATGGACCGACGCCCGAGGGTTCTACGCAGGAACCGCAGCATTTCTGCCACTGTAAAATCAGAGTGGAAAAAGATGACATCAGAGAGGAAGACAGTGTCGGCCAGATAAGTGACAGTATTAGGTAAATCCTGTAGACCCGAGCAGGCGTGCTATAAAAACAGTCAACATATTTGAAAACAAGAACTAAAACTCAGTTCTTACACATATTTTCAAATGTGTTTCATTTAATAAACAATTTTCATCTGTCAACTAAAAATAAATTTTAGAAACGTGCTACTTCAATTCAAAGGTTTTTTTTAAAAGGCTGATTCATTTTCCTTTGAAAGGCAGATTTTACAAAGAGGAGAGAAAAAGAAAGAAGGTCTTCCGTCTGCTGGTTCACTCCCCAAATGGCCACAACAGCTGGAGTTGAGCTGATCAGAAGCCAGTAGCCAGGAGCTTCTAGGTTTCCCACAAGAGTGCAAGGTCCCAAGGACTCAAGTCTCCTGGCAGGTCTCCCTGACCCTAAGCTGGCAGCTGGATTAGAAGAGAAAAAGAAAGGACACAAACCAGCGCTGATATGGGATGTCGGTGCCACAAGGCAGATGACTACCATGCTGTGCCACCATGCCAGCCCCCTAATTCAAAGTTTTTAAAGAGTGTTATATCTAAAACAGAGCCACAGCCTGCAGCTTCCTAAACCTACTGGGCAATTTTACCAGAAGCTGATATACAAGGGAGAGGAGTGAACATTCAGGAAGTTCATCACATCTTCTAGAACAATAAATTAGCTGTACAAAGTTGGATATCCCTACAAACATTCGAAGATGTTACACACTAAGATGTATTCCAACGATCAGGATGATGCTGAGGCCTGGCACGGCGACCTAGCGGCTAAAGTCCTCGCCTTGAACGTGCCGGGATCCCATATGCACGCCAGTTCTAATCCCAGCAGCTCCACTTGCCATCCAGCTCCCTGCTTGTGGCCTGGGAAAGCAGCAGAGTACGGCCCAACACCTTGGGACCCTGCACCCGCTTGGGAGACCTGGAGGAAGCTCCTGGCTCCTGGCTTCAGATTGGTGCAGTTCTGGCTGTTGTGGTCACTTGGGGTATGAATCATTGGACAGAAGATCTCCTCTCTGTCTCTCCTTCTCTCTGTATACCTGACTTTGCAATAAAAACAAATAAATCTTAAAAAATAAAATGATGCTGAAGTTGCAGGTCTATTCTCAGTATTTGCTACAAAGACAATCATGTTCTTCAATCAAAATACAATGCAAAGGTCATAAGTTCCCTCAAATATTCTAGTATTTACAGGTTTTAATTACTGTCTAAGATAAACCTTTATAGCATCAAATTGTTTTAAATGCCACTTTATTCCTCATCTCCATCAAGAACATTAAAGCTAATCAAAATGGCTAACATAGATAGTAATAATATAAATTCTCGTACTACATTCAGAAACACCCAGTACAGTGTTGGAAACAAATGACATGGAAAACGCCCTAAGGTGCCCTGCTAACCTCATGGGTTTAATTCACACAGCTAACAGTTTCAGAGTAAGCACAGTTCATATAGCTAAGCCAACATCAAAAAAAGACAATGTTCACTCCCGAGAAAACAGAGGTCTGAAAATGGGAGAGAAATCACAGACTCCACAGCGCAGCCAATAGTTTAAACGGCCGTAATACTACCAACACCAAACACTGATCTAACCAGAAATACACAGAAACTACAATGAGAGGCAAGGAACAGCAGGGGCTGAGAACAACGAGTCCGGAAGAGAGTTACCTCATCTTACCTACCAGCAACCTAACAGGAAAGTCTCAAATACAAGGAAAAACCATAAGGAGTGGGGAGATTGGCACAAGTGGTCAGAACACCACCATGAGTCCTGGCTCGAACACCAAGGCTGCCTGTGCTTTGGGAGGCACCAGAGGATGACTCAATCAAGTCATCCCTGTGGGAGACCCAGCTGGATTCCTGGGCTGCTGCCTTCCGCCTGCTTCAGCCCTGGCTGTTGCACACATTTGGGTCACAAATCAGCACATGAGACATCATCTCTCCTCTGCTTTCCGACCTTGCACATAACAATGGCTATGTGCGGCACCTGCACGTGACTCGAACTACAGAAGAGGTTCTCTGAGACCAGGGCAATTCGGGGAAATTGCTATAGGACAGATCTAAGACCAGGCAACACCCGTATGTATCTAGAGGCATAGTCCTGTGTAATCCCCACCAAAAAACTGCAACAGTGGGTAGCTCTCCAGCTGGACTGAGAGTTCCAGGGCACGGCTCCGCCTGCACAGGCTCACTTTGGCTGCCTAGGTCCCCCTGTTGCTGTCACCCCGGAATTCTAAAGCTACGAGGACAAAGAACCCCTACTTAACTCCATTTAACTCAGCTCCTCCCCAACATCTCTGACAATTAAGTCTTTCATTTCTAAGCCAGGTACTTCCGTCCAGGTACCTCACTGAGCCTGCAGAACATTTCACTGCTCCCAATTTTTTTTTAAAGTAAAATAAAAACAAATAAATAAAAAGAACATTTTATTGCTTCATTAATCAGAATTGCTCATCGACATATCTCACTTCTTGTTAGCAAGAATAGCTTAGCCACCTGGCATAATTCATAATCCCAACAATAAACGTTAAGTAAACAATCTTATCTTTTCCTAACAAAAATTCCCTAAGCACTGTCTCATTTTGATGAGCCGTAAAGGAAGGGTCAGAGAAGTGAAACCACTGGCCAAGTCTGTATTTTAGTAAGTGGCAAAAACAGGGGTTCAAGCCAAGGTTCTGACTCTACAAGTTGGTATCTTTGTGCCATAGAAACAATCATATAAAACACTTCAACACAAAGAAATTTTTAAAAAGCACAGATTTGAAAAGAAGCTGAATGAAATCACAAACACAGAAAGCATGCTAGCTCAACTGGCTAAGTGTTAGCATCCCGTAGGGGCACCAGTTCATGTCCTGGCTGCTCCACTTCCCATCCAGCTCCCTGCTGGTGGCCTGGGAAAATGGTGAAGGATGGAGCAGGTTCGTGGACCCCTGCACTCATGGGGGAGACCCAGAAGAAACTCCTAGCTTCGACCAGCTCAGATCTAGCTGCCATGGCCATTTGGGGGAGCAAACCAGCAGATGTCAGATCTTTCCATCTCTCCTCTCTGCAAATCTGCTTTCCAATAAAAATAAATTAAATCTTAAGGAAAAAAAAACACTTTATTAAAAGTGATCCAGGTGGGCCCACACTGTGGGCAGTGGGTGGAGAACCAGCTTCCATCCTCAGCATCCCACACTGAGGTCTCAGCTGCTCTGCTTCTGATCCAGCTTCCTGCTGTGTGCCTGAGAGAATGGCCCATGTCTTTGCTGCACCACCCACACGGAGTTCTCAGCTCCTGGCTTTAGCCTGGTCCAGCTCTGGCTGAAGTGGCCATTTGCTAAGTAACCAAATGATAGACAACCTCTCCCTTCCTCTCTCCCACACTCCCTTTAAATGCATTAACTTGCAAAAAGTGATTTAGGAACCGAGACTTCCTCATCCCACAGAAGAATGCCTGGGACAGAATCTGGCCTCTCGGTCCCAGCGTGATAGCCTAATGGCTAAAGTCCTTGCCTTGTACACGCCAGGATCCCACATGGACGTTGATTCGTGTCTGGACGCCCCCGCTTCCCATCTAGTTCCCTGCCTGTGGCCTGAGAAAGCAGTCACAGATGGTCCAGGGCCTTGGGATTCTGCACCTGCATGGGGGACCCGGAGCGGGGCCTAACTCCTGGCTTTGGATTGGTGCAGTTCTGGCTGTTGCAGCTGATTGGGGAGTGAATTACTGGACAGAAGCTCTTCCTCTCTGTATATCTAACTTTGCAATAAAAATAAATGAATCTTTAAAAATAATAATCTGGCCTCTCTTCACACCCAGTACCCTGCTCATGCACACCCTAGACACTAGGTACTTGGGTCCCTGCGACCCACGTGGGAGACCCAGAGGGCAGCCCTGGCTCCCAGGTTCACCCCAGCCCAGCCGTTGGGGATATCTGGGGTGTAAACGAGCATATAGATGTCTTGCTCGCTCATTCTCTTTTCCTCTGTTACTCTGTCACCAATAACCAAGAAAATTTGTAAAAATGACTTTAAAATACGTACCAAAAAAAAATAATGTTTACTATTTTTGATTCTGATTCAAACAAACTTTAAAAAAATGAAAAAAAAAAAATATATATCACTAGGGGAAGCTCCTACATAAGTCAAAAGCTATGTCCCAAATTTTGGGGGATCACAATTGCTTCTCATATACACAGCTTAAAAGAAGCCCTACACAACCAGCTACTCTTTAGCCCGCATCTAAAAACCTCATAAAAACAAAACCTACAATATCAAAGCAAGTCAATGTCAAAACAGTAATACTGAGTAGCGATGAAGAGTATCATCTTGCTTTTTAACAAGCCTGCACGCACCTGGGTCATTACAAAAAGGCAAGCCGTGAGAGCTGTCATTTGAACTTCGGAGGAACTAAAAGTCCACACACACAGGTCTCAGCACTGACAGGATTATTTAGGGAAGCCAAGCCGCCACTGCCACTCCAGGAAAAAGCAGTGGCCTAGAAGTTACTTTGTTTCTTCAAGGATCCTTACTCTTTGGAAATACACACTGGAATACTCAGATGAAAACATGTGTATCCGGTATTCACATCAAATTAACACAAGAAAGGGAGGTGAGTGGTGACACAGATCAAATCGTCTCTCCTCAGTGGCAAAACTACCCATGGGGTGCCAGGTACCCGGGTGCTCATCACAGACCCGTCACCATTTTTATCTATGCTAAATTCTTCCACCAAACAAGAGGATTTTCTTGGTCAAGGAAAAATGTTTAAAATGTATAATTTTGTGGTTCCTAGGAAGCAAATATTATAAAACAATTTTTCCGACTTCAAGTGCACTTCGATGTGGGACACATAATGTCACAAAAGTCTAGCAGTTCTTATCACAGAAATAGGAAAACGCTCCACAACCACAAACTGCAGAGAGACCGAAGATTTAAACCGAAAAAGAAACGAAAAAAT